TTTCTGGGAGTTGAAGTCCACACATCTTAAAGTTCCCAAAGTTGAGAAACACTGCTCTAGTCACATGCTTATACACTACTTGGTCAGGAGGTAGCATTCTTGAAATTACTTCCATTTTTAACTATTTGATATTTAATTGCCAGAAAGACAGCATAGTTGCGAGAGCTCTCTCACACACATTCTAGGGGTAGGGGCTGGTACCCTCAAGAAAATAGGTAGTGGTGGCAGGAAGTAACAAGGTGTTTCTTCTAGGGTGTAAAAACCCAGAGGGTTTTCATGAATCTCCAGCCTTGCACCATAGGGGCTTATCCTTTCTATAATAACTAGAAACATCCTTTGCTAAATATCATGATCAATGCTTATAGAGCCGCTTCAGGAACAACTTTGGCTGCCTTATAGAGAATGAAGTACCTCAACAACAATATTCACATCTCTTTCCTCTTACTTTAGGAAATACAGTATAGTGATCTTGAGACATAATTTGACGCTGTTATATAGGGCATTATTTACCTCCTTGTAGAAATGGAACATCTGGATGCATTTGAAAAATCAGGTTCCCACTGATCAGTGGGATCATAAAAAATCTCATCAGCTTCCTCAGTGCTGTTCATCTGGAAAATAAAGGAATTTGTTTTCCTAAAGGTTGTTTCCACAATCTAACACTAAAGGCAGCATGCATCAGCTTATATTAAGATACAGTCACATGTTAAAATGCAGGATCAACTCACTACTTTTAAAACTCACACTCAAAATATATTACTCTTTCCACAAAGATTTTTCCTTATATGAGTTTGCTCAGAACTTCAGGTGACTTACAAGAGGATAGACACATTCCTTTCTCTGAAGCTTAATGAGTCTTCCTGAAGTCGGGTGGCCTTAACAAATCTAATAAATAATAAAATAAAAAATAAAAGAAGAAAATTGTACACTGATATTATGGGAAAGTATGTGGGTATGTCCCATTTGTCTCTCCATAGAAAATATATCTTTCTGGATGAGATTCAAGTGCTCTTTTTTTTCCTTGGCAAAAGTTACAGGGTCATTCACCCATCCCTTACTGCTACTTCTGTGTCACAAATAAGATGCTTTAAGGCTCAGCTGCAGCCATCTGAACTTCACTGCAGCCAAGATTACAGAATGTCTATTTTGGGCATCAATATATTCTATTTTAGACATCAATATATTCTATTTTAGGCATCAATATATTCATTTTAATAAACTTTCAGAATATATGTAACCTTTATAAACAGGTTTTAAGTAACCTGGCTATCACTGCTTCTGTACTGGGGGATTCTCTGAAATCTGTCACTGCCACAAATATTCTACTGTAATCTCTATTTCTGGATTAATAAAATGCTTAACCTAACTATTCCCAAACAACAAAAAAGGAGAAAAGGGTGTTATCCCACATTTAATTTCAGGACAAGAACTTTCCCACCACCACTACTAACATTTTCTGGCTGGATTCCCAGGACCTGGGTATCCATCACTCCCTGGACCTTCCTTTCTAAACTCTCCATCCTGTTTTCCTTCAATACTGCTTGCTCCTCCTCTTCCTAGTATTCCTTGATCACTTCTATCCTTCTCCCATCCCCTGCTTTCTTTCCTTCTTCTGTTCTTTCTGCAGTGCTGCTTCACCAAAGTGATTGATCCTTATGGATTCTTCCTTCCACACATTCCTAAACTGCTTGCAGGCAGGCCACTCACTTCAAAGATAACTAATGGCTATCCATGTTCAAATATTTCTTCTGGATGTCAGAGTACTCTCTTATTCTTCTTGCACTTCTGCAGAGGCAAGCAACGAGAAGACAGCTCTGAAAACAGGTTCACCCTGGCAAATTCTGAAAGCGCCTCTGCCTCTTTCTCATAAAAGCAGTAGGAAGCATTTCCGGCTTTTTCTTAAACAAACCTCATACACTTCTTTCATTGCAGCCAGCTTGTCTTCAAATTTCTCAAGGCTCCAGAAAGTTGCAACACCCAGCCTGATGTTACGGACCTGTACTTGAAGGCCATTTTCTTTAGCCATTACATCATGTCTGATAAAAGAACACAACAAATTTACTCCCAGAACATAAAGCAACAATCACCATCTGATGCACCCCCTTTATAATTGACAATTGCAGGGGAAGGGAGTTGTATTTTATAGGCTGATAAGATAACAAAGTATATAGGTGCTCAATTTTGGAATTAAACATTTATAAATAGCCAAAGACATTTTGGGAACATTTTTAGAAACTATTTGGACTACAAATACCACTCTGAAATACAGCTTTAATTTGATTGCTTAAAGGCAATCATCAAATTACAGTAATTAAAAGGCAAACAAGGAACAACTT